AAAAAAAAAAAAGAATAAAAGAGAGAGACAAGAAGAGAGGCAGTAATCAAAAGGAGTCAACAAGCTGGCCAGTGAATCAACAGTGAATAAATCACAACTAACCAGAGAAATCTATAACTTACAGTCAGAGGTGGAAGTCAGTAAGAAGTAAGCTAATATATACACTGAACTCTGGGCAGGCTCAGTAATCAGACTAATCAGAAACTTCTGAGGGCAAAAGGAAGAGGAAAACAAGACAACTAACTAATAGACAGTTTTAACAGTTCCTAACTAATTAACAGTTCCTAACTAAATACCACTAATAATACATGCAAACAAATATCCAAAAATTACTAAAACGGTAGTAACCTGGTAGACAACTGCCAGAAATGCAAGCTCAGTTTAGAAGAGGCCATGAAACTAGGGATATCCTTGCTGATGTCAGACGGATCTTGGCTTAAAGCAGAGACTACCAGAAGGATGTATATTTGTGTTTTAACTACACAAAGACTGTGGATATCACAACAAATTGTTACTAACATTGGAGAAGAATGGGAATCCCAGAACACTTGATTGTGCCCATGCAAACTTATACTTACAACAAGAGTCTATTGTGCAACAAAGCAAGAGAATACTGAATGGTTCAAAATCAAGGAGTGCACCAAGGATACGTCTTTTATCCATATTTTTCAATCTGTATGCTGAACATATCTGAGAAGCTGGACTTTATGAAGAAGAATATAGCATCAGGATTGGAGGAAAATGCATCAACTATCTGTATTAAGCAGATGGCACAACCTTACAGAAACTTTGCTGTAGAAGATCAAGGACTGTAGCCTTCAATACGGACTTCATCTTAAAAACAAAAAAACATACATCCTCACCATTGGGCCAATCGGCAGCATCATGATAGGTGGAGAAAAGACTGAGATTGTTAACAATTTCCACTTGCCTGGACCCATAATCAACACTACTAGTACCAGTAGTCAGGAAATCAAAAGACAAGCTGCACTGAGAAAATCTGCCAACCTCTCTAGAGTGCTACAGAGCAACGATGTCAGTCTAGAGACTAAGGTGCCCCTGATCCAGACCATGCTTGCTATGCATCTGAGAACTGGACAATAACTAAGAATGACAAACGAAAAATCAAAGCCTTTGAGTTGTAAGAACAAACAGATCTGTTCTGGAGAGGGTGAAACAAGGCTGTTCCTTGAAGGCAAGAATTTTGAAGCTCTATCTCATATACTTTGGGCATGCCACCAGGAGGAACCAGTCCTTGAGGAAAGACATCATGCTTGGAAGGATGGAGGGACAGCACAAGAGAGGAAGACCCCAGATGAGATGTATTAACATAGTAACTGGGGAAATGGAGGTTTCAGAGACAGTGAGATTGGCTCAGGATATGACAGGATTCATATTTACTGTGCATAAGGTCAACAGGAGTTGCAAGTGACTCAACGGCACATAACAACAACAACTAGGGAATAAGACCTGTAGTCTACTCTTCAGCAATGTTGAACCAGTCCTGTTCTCCAGCATACAAACCAGAGATAAAGCACTATGAGAAAAACATGATGATTAAGTGAAAATCAACACACTAAGAACACAGGCAGTTAAGCTGATACCCTCAAGGAAACTGAAGGCTTCTTTCTAAAGCAAATGTCTGCTCCAAGAAAAATATTTACAATTACCGCCATGTGCCAAATAACATCCAGAATATTCTATAAAATAGAACACTGTGTGATTTGTCTATCAAACAAACATGCCTAAATCAGCAATGGCATTCAGTGAGTTTCTACCTACATGTTGTTTCACTTACAAATCAATACTCATCCTTTAATTCTCCCTAACTACTGGTATAAATAGTGTTAACTTGGTTCCATCTGGAACCCATGATACACTTTAAAAGAAATACTTAGAAAGGAAAGTAAGCAGATATAATGCTATACACTCAAAAGACATGATGTACTCAAGATTGGACGCTGCTGCTTAAGAATAAAAGTGTACACTGTTATTATGTTAAACTGTATTTGTAAAGAGAGAATTTTCCTATTAAAATAACAATAGAAAAAGTAGAATACATACACGTTAATACAGTGTCAGGCAGCACCAAGTGCTTCATAAACACAAAGTTACAGTATTATGTACAAGAAACTGGTGCATTTGCTACATCTGGTTACATCCATGGTACTCCATTTCTAACCAGGAATTTTGAACTCTGTTATATATAAAACAAGACCACACATGTATGTAGGACTAAATATTGCTCCTATGAACATTATGTGCCACAGTGAGCTTTGGCGGCCTATGAGTAAGAATCTGCACTGCCAACCCAAAGGCAGGCAGTCCAAATCCTCTGGCTACTCCAAGGAACAAAGATGAGCAATCTCCTCCCATACAATTTTCAGCCTCTGAAATCCTGCTGGAAGGTCAGCTATCAGTTATAACTTGACGCAAGGAGATAGTTAATAAAATGAAGAGCAAGCTGTGATGGCCCAGTCCATCAGCAAGTGCGCTGCTTACCCAAAGGTCTTATCTCTCTAAACGTTCAAATGCATCGATGGTTCTGTGGGACAAAGATATGACATCTCCTCCCTTGAGATGTACAACTTGGAAAATCCAGTGGAAAATCAGCAATAAGTTTGTTCTTACTCAAAAGGCAAACCAGGAAATCCCACACATACGAGCTAGATATTAAGTACTTCACTCTTAAACACGAGTGCAAGATCAGGTCATGAAGCAATCAAAATGGAGATACGAGCACAGAAGTGCAAAAATAATGCAAAGGAAGAAGAAAACATTTTATTTAGTGATCATTAGAATGATAAAGTTACTATATTTGTGGGGCAAAATTGGCAGGCTATTTAAAAAATTCCTAGAGAAAAAGAATGATCCTTGAAATAGAACAGCTGAAATTTTAATATTCAGTGGGTTCTTTAAAGGAAGTTCTCCCCATCAAGTAAAATTAAAGGATGGAATATTATGCAGCACTCTGGAGCAACAATTCTGAAAAATACCACATAATTTGGGAGAGACTAGAGAGCATTATGTTGTATGAACTAACTCTGTCCCATAAGGATAAATACTGTGTAAGCCCATTATTGTAAGAATAGAAGGATGTATTGGAGTTCAAGGCAGGAAGGGATGGGAGCAGAGGGGTGAGGGTGAGCAGGGAGGATATCATGGGATTGCACAATTTGTTGAGTGAAGAGTGAGAAAAGAAAATGGGAAAGATTTGGCAGGGACCTGAAAAGACAGGGTAATGGTGGGCATAGCGCAATCATTATTAATTTTATAAAGCACAATGCATGGAAATGATTGTATGAAACACAACGTGAATGAAAAAAGTGTGAAACACAATGTATATGAATTTTGTATGTAAACCAATATAAAATGAAAATTTTCAAAAAGGAAAGAAATGGAAAAGTTGATGAATTAAGATCCTGGTCCAATTGTGCCTGCTTCCATTTTTCCAGGTAGAATTTCTGAGATGGAGATGAAGGGTTGGGGGAAAGCAGGAAGAAGAGAAATGCTGGGAAATGAAGTGAGTTATGTTAAGAAACAATAAAATAAAAATTAACTTAATTAATGAGTTGATATGAATGAAAAGTAAAACAGACACACTATACAGAACATGTGAATGAATGAACAATGTAAAAAACTTTTGACTTGGAGTGGGAAAAAAATGGCCTTTCCAATACTAGATGTGCTTTTCCAGAAAAGAGGAGTTTGGATACCATATAATCTGTGTGTAGGGAAAAGGCATGGGTGGGGTACACTATTTCATTTTTATATCTGTAACTTAAGGTATTGCTCAAAAAGTCTAAAGTTTCCTCTAGATCAAAATTATTTAAGCCTAATTCCTTCCTGCTTCAAGGATCCTGCTCTTACTACTTCAGGTACATCAGATTTCTGAAATTAAAGAATGAAGGTGGCTATATAAAGGTGGCTAGGGATTGAATAGGTTTCATGTAAGTAAGACTAAGTGTTCTGATTTTCCCATTTTCCTCAAGGTTAGCCACAATTTACTGTGATCCACACAGTTGAATGCCTTTGCACAGTCAATGAAATACAAATAAGACATTCCTCTGTACTCTCTGTCAAGATCCATCTGACATTGTCAATAATGTCCCTAGTGCCACGACCTCTTCTAAACCCAGCCTGTATTTCTGGTAGTTCTCTGTCAATAAACTGTTCAAGTCTTTCCTGGATAATCTTCAGAAGGATTTTGCTAGTGTGTGATATTACTGAATAGTGTTCAATAATTTCCACACTCTGTCAAGTCACCTTTTTTTTGAAATGGGAATAAATACGGATCTTTTCCAGTCATTTGGCCAAAATAGCTGTCCTCCAGATTTCTTGGCACAACTTGGTGAGCACATGCTGGGCAGCATCTGTTTGCTGAAATACATCAACTGGTAGTCCATCAATTCCTGGGGCTTTATTTTTTTTTATTTCCCCCCAAGGCCTTCAGAGCAGCCTGCACTTCCTCCTTTATCCCCATTGCCTCTTGATCATATGTTGGTTCTTGAAATTCTTCTGTGTCAGCCAATTCTTTTTGGTACAATGACTCCGTATACTCCTTCCATTTACTTTCAATGCTTCCTGAATCTTTCAATATTCTGCCCATAGCATTCTTAAGCATTGCAACTCATGGCTTGAATTTATGCTTTAGTTCTTTCACTTAAGAAATGCTGAGAGAGTTCAGTTTTTTTTTAATTTTCTGACTCCAGCTCCTTCCACATTTCATTATACTTTGTCTTATCTTCCTGAGCAGCCCTTTGAAATCTTCTCTTCAGCTCCTTAACTTTTTGATTTCTTCCCTTTGCTTTGGCTTCTCAGCGCTCTAGTGCAATATTCAGAGTCTTTTCCGACATCCACTTTGGTCTTTTCTTCTTCTTCCTTCTTAGTAATAATTTTTTGTATTCTTCATGAACAATATTCTTGGTATCTTCCCAACCTTGAGAAAATGCGAATCTCAGAGCACTTGATCGTGCTTATATGACACTATATGGTTCAAAATCAAGAAATGAGTACATCAGGGATGCATGCTGTCCTCATACTTTTTCAATCTGTATGCAAAACAGATCGATCATTCGGGAAGAAAGGATTTATGAGGAGGAGTATGGCATCAAGATTGGAGGAAGACTCATTAACAACTTATGATATGCAGATCATACAACCATACTTGCTGAAGCTAAAGAAGACCTGAAGTACTTGCTGCAATAGGTTAGGTCAAGGACTGTAGTGTTCAATATGGATTATAGCTCAACATCAAGAAGACAAAGATTCTCACCACTGGGCCAACTAGCAGCACCACAATAGATGGAGAAGAGACTGAAGTTGTTAGCAATTATAGCTTTCTCGACTCCACAATCAAGACTCTTAACACCAGCTGTCTGTCAGGTAATCAAAAGATGAATTGCACTGGGAAAGTCTGCTGTCACGGACCTCTCCAGAGTGCAGAAGAGCAACAACCTAAGTCTAGAAACAAAGGTGCAACTAATCCAGGCCTTGGTCTTCTCAATTACAGAGAGTTGTGCAATGACTAAGGATGACAGAAGAAGAATCGATGCCTTCGAGATGTGGTGCTGGTGAAGAGTCTTGAGCATATCATGGGCTTCCAAGAAAACAAATAGGTCTGTTTTGGAGAGGGTGAAACCAAGTCTCTCCTTGGAGGCAAGGATTTTGAAGCTCTGCCTCACTTACTTTGGGCACGCAGCCAGAAGAGATCGGTCCTTAGAGAAGGACATCATTCTTGGAAGGTGGATGGACAGCACAGGAGAGGGAGACCCCGAATGAGATGGATTGATACAGTAACTGGGATGATGGGAGTTGGTGTATCAGAATTAGTGAGACTAGCTCAGGACAGGGAAGGGTTCAGAGCTACTGTACACAGGGTCGCTATACTTCACAGGCGACTCAATGGCACATCACAACAAAAACATATACTATGATACGTTTGGGAGCAGGAGTGGCATGCACTTCCTAAATAACATGCTTCTGGAAACTCTATTGACTTTGATGTCGATAGTTGTAGAAGGGCTGCAGGTCTTTTATTCATAGGGTCGCTATGAGTCGTGCTCTACTCAAAGGCAATCAACAACAGGGTTGAAAAGAGCTCTGGTGACCTAGTAGAAAAAAGTTGCGCTGCAATCCCAAAGGCACATAGTTTGAGGTCACTAGCTGCTCTGCGGTAGAAGGATGGGCAATCTCCTCCCGTGTGATTAACTGCCTCTAAAAACCCCCCAGATGGTCAGCTATGATTCAGTTCTGAATCAATGGTACACAACAACAGGGTTGAATAGCAAGGCCTCGATCTTTATGTATTTAACAATATATTTTGCAAAGATTGTACATGTTAAGATTTTGTCTCCTCCAAAAGCTTAAGTTTCAGGATCCTGAATTCCGAGATCTCAATCCAAACCCTGTGTCTAACATGTGGTGTTGAGCATGTTTATAAATAGTGAGCCCACATCTGTGTTAGCAGGCTACAGCAAATGATCTTTGAGGTCCTTTCTAGCTCCAAATAGTCTATGATTCTACACAAATATATGATTATATAAGGAATTTAGTGGAAAGACTAGTGGAACTTAAGTTATTAAATAAACCTACTAACCAAAATTGCTTTTCTGACATTCTGATGTTAATAAGGCATGGGGGAGTTACAAAATATATACAGGATTAAATATAACTGCTTACCCTTCCATTTTTACAGATATAATCAAATAGCTCTCCTCCTGAGACATATTCCATCACCATGAAAATATCAGAAGGTGTACTGATGACCTGGTACCTGGTGAGAGAAAACAGTATCTACTAACATTAAAACATGTATAGTCATTCATTCAATATACACTTACTAAATGTCTCTAATATGCCTAGTACTGTGCTAGGAGCTAGGGAGACAGCAGGGGACAAAATAAATTCTCTGTCCTAATGGTGTATGTGTTGCAAGAGCCAGGAAAGAAGACACTAAACAAGTGCTATAGCAGATGAGGGAATGTGCTATAAGCAAAAATAAAAGCAAATTAAGGGAGTCTTTTATCTATACGGTCAGTAAAGGCCTCTGGGTTAAATCTGTGTTCGAGAAGAACCTGAAAGAAATAAGAGACTAAACAATGCTGTCATCTATGAAGAAGGCAACTAGGCATAGAGAACAGCAGTGCAAAGGCCCCAAGTGAAAGCCTGCCTGGCAGCTATGAGGGATGGTATGTATAAAGGCTTGGGCTGAGGTTGTGTGAGCTGGACAAGCAATGCATGTGGTTAAAGGAGTCACTGGAGACCACAAGGCAGAGGCTATGATGAAGCTTGACTCTGATTCTATGTGAGAGGGGAAGCTACTTCAAGCAGAGTGGTCACGTGAGCTACAATATTAAAAGGAACATGATGGTGGTGCTGTGAACTGACTGTGGACAGCAAAGGAGAAAGCAAGCAGCTACTGCAACAATCCACCAGAAGGAGGAGGGGGGCTCAGGCGGAGTGATGGTGATGAAGCAGCTGACAGAGTCAGGTCTTTGAGCCTGAATGACAAGATGGAATAGATAGTGGGGAGTAAAAGAGAACGCAAAGTTAAGTCTTCTCCCTGAGTAACTACATACCACTATGATGATGAGAATTATAGGAAGAGCAGGCTTAGGAGGGTAATAAGTTGTTTTGTTTGTAGTATGCTGAAGTTGAAATGCCTTGGGGATATCCAAAAAGAGAGGACAAGGAGTCAATAGGTATAAAATCTGGTGTTCAGGGCTGAGGTTTCGAAGGAGATGTATATTTAAGAATTATCAGCATGTGGATGGTTCTTACTCCATCTATGGAATCTCAATAGCTATCAGAAATGATGAGGTGAAGCAAATTTTGAGTTAGCCAGTCCACTACAAAAACCCAAGCAGCACCAATGCATGGCGAGCACAGTGAAGCGGAAGCTGAGCAGTGAGCACATTGTCTGCAAACCCTGGAACTGGCAACTGCAGAAAGGCAGAAAGATTACGATCTGTTTCAAAAGACTGAGTTCCTCAAATTCTCTTTTTTGGTTCATTAGTTACAAGCAGATGGGGTAAAGCTTTGTCCACTGCATCGTCTCTTAATAAGGCTAACTGATACCATGTGGAATCTGGAGGTGAAGCATTTTCTCTGGCAAATTATTTCTGGTTCTACAATGGGGCAAGAAACAATATAAGAAGGGGACCTGTCTAAGAGAAAGAGAGAAGGGGAAGGATTAACAGGTGACAAGCACAAAGGTAAAACACAAGTAAGTGGCTATCAATAGTGTTAAAAACATAAGAAAGTCACTTTCCAAAATCCTCAAAAAACAAGGAAGAAAGGTCAGACACCTTTCTCATGCATCAGATTAAGCAGGTTAACAAAAGTGATGAAACGATAACTTGACCATATGTAGTATAATTAGAGCTTACAGTTTAATTATATGAGGATGTCTGAAAAGCTTGAGGTTCTGAATTTCTCTGCGGATTTTTCCTACCACATCAAGGCTCCGAATCTTCTGTCGGTTGAGTATCTTCACGGCAACTTTATGCCCAGTCAGTTCATGTTTGCCAACTGTAGGAGCAATCATATTTAACAAATTAGTACCAACTCTGATGATAATATATTTAGGTCCAAGCATTATCGTAACATTCTCAAAAAATACTTCTGCAAATTTACATGCCTGTCTCTTCTATTTCCCCCTAGAAGTTTAACTTCTGCAAATTTACATGCCTGTCTCTTTTATTTCCCCCTAGAAGATAGATAAAAGTGATTGAGTGGGAGGAAATACCAGAAGCTAGTTAACAGTGGTTTCTTCCAGAAGGAAAACCATCAAGCTAAGGGACAAAGACAAGAGCCCTTGTTAGTGGCTTTGGGGTTTTTTACTATATAAACTAACATACAGCTTGTGTGCACGTGAGTGTGTGCATGTGTGCAGTTATGCGGATTTTAGCGAGTAAGTAAAGATTTGTGCAAATCAATACCATGATTAGGATACAGTAGTTTTTATAATCCTAAAAATATCACTCATAATATCCAATCCACAAGACTTTGTATTCATTTTGGTTTAGGGTGATATAAGTTTAATACTTTTACATAAAGTTTAAAAGGGAAAAATAATGCTATTCCCAGACAGTCAATGGTGATAGTAGAATTGAGACATTTTCATAGAGGTCAAGTCTCCAAAAAGTTTGCCTTTATGCATCCTTTCTCTAGAACTTACTGGGTAATATAAATTCCATTAAAATCAGGGGAAATATGGCAAAGAATTCAAGAAAGATCCAACATAAAAAAAATGTAGAGAACTCACAAACTGGTTATAAAACAAAGTTCAATGACTAGGGAGGATAGAAGGAGAATTGATGCCTTTGAGCTGTGGTGCTGGAGAAGAGTATTCAATGTACCATGGACTGCCAAGAAAACAACCAGATTCATCCTAAGGAGGGTTAAACCAGACTGCTCCTTGGAGGCAAGGATTCTGAAGCTTCATCTGACATATTTTGGGCATGTTGTAAAGACATACTGGTCCTTACAGAGGGGCATCATGCTTGGGAGGGTGATGGGACAGCGCAGGAGGGGAAGACCCTCTATGATGTGGACTGATTCAGTGACTGGGGTAATCGGGATGGGTGTATCGGAAACAGTGCGATTGGCACACGATAGAGCAGGGTTTAGAGCTGTTGTACATAGGGTCGCTATAAGTCACAAGCAACTCGACAGCACATAACACCAACAGTAGGTATGCAAAATGGCAGAGTTGTGGAAAACGGTGTAGTGGTTCTTCAAAAAACTAAAAAGGGGGATGGTGTGAAGGAAATAGGAGGGATCCAGTAGGGACCAATGACGGGAAAGATCCAAGGGTGACTGATTTTATAAAACATAGTGCTCTAACCTGTGCCAATCTCACTGTCTCCAACATACCTACCCCCATTACCCGTCACTGAATCAATCCATGTCATAGAGGACCTTCCTCTCCTGCATTGTCCCTCCACCCTCCCAAGCATGACGTCCTTCTCTAAGGACTGGTCCCTCCTTGCAACATTTACAAAGTATGTCAGACGAAGCTTCAGAATCTTTGCCTCCAAGGAGCAGCCTGGTTTAACCCTCTCCATGATGAACCTGTTCGTTTTCTTAGCAGTCCATGGTATAGTCAACATTCTTCTCCAAAACCACAACTCAAAGGCATCAATTCTCCTTCTGTCCGTCCTAGTCATTGTCCAACTCTCTGACACAAAACAAGTGATTGCAAACCCATGGCCTGTATCCGGCACACCTTAGTATCAAGAATGACACCAATACTCTTCAGTACTTTGGAGAGCTCCCGAACAGCACACTTTCCCATCACAATGCGTCTTTTAATTTCCTGGCTGCTGGTGCCAAGAGTGTTGACTGTGGAGCCAAGCAAACTAAAACTGTGAACAATCTCAATCTCTTCATCATCCATGCTAATGCTGCCAATTGGCTCAGTGGTAAGAATCTTTGTCTTCTTGATATTGAGCCTTAATCCATACTGAAGGCTGCAGCAAGTGCTTCAGTTATCCTCAGTTCCAGCAAGCAGTGTTGTGTCATCTGCATAACGCAGATTGTTGATGAATCTTCCACCAATCCTGATGCCACGCTTCTCCTCATACAGACCCACCTCCTGGATAATATGTTCTGCATATGGTTTGAAAAGGTATGGAGAAAGGACACATCCCTGGCGTACACCCTTCCCAATTTTGAACCATACAGTATTTCCTTGCTTTGTTCGGACAACTGCCTCCTGGTACAAGTATAGGTTTCGCATTAGCATGATCAAGTGTTCTGGGATTCCCATTCTTCTCAGAGTTAGCCACAGTTTGTTATGATCCACATAATCAAACACCTTTGTATAATTAATGAAGCACAGATAGACATTCCTCTGGTACTCCCTGCTTTCAGCCAAGATCCATCTCACATTTACTACAATATCCCTAGTACCAGCCTGCACTTCTGGTAGTTCTCTGTTGATGTGCTGTTCCAGCCGTTTTTGGATAATCTTCAGCAGAAGATTTCATGTGATATCAATGATATTGTTCGATAATAAACATAGAAACATAATGTATTAGGGGAGTAAAGTATATGGGAATGATTGTATTAGTGTGAAATACAATGTATAGAAACTTTATGAGCAAACCAATATAAAATTATAAAAAAAATAGAAACCAAAACTAAAAAGGGCATACTACCCAATGACCCACCAATTCCACTCCTAAATATACACATACAAGATTTGAAAGCAGACACAAAACAGACCTACACACTGCAGTTCACTGAAGTATTACTCACAATAGCGTAACATGGAAACAACCTACAGGCAGCCCATTAACATTTAAATGAATAAACAATGTGGCACATAGATAAAATAGAAAGTCTGCAGAATTGAAGTCCGGCACCTACTCAAATATAGATGGAGCCTGAAGACAAGGTGAGTGAGATAAAATAATCATAAAAGTTCAAATATTGTATTACCTCAGTTGCAGAAAAAGACCCAAAAAAGGCAAAAACCCAGAGAAGAATTCCTGTTAATATTTACCAGGGGAGGATGGAGAGGGCAAGGAAAGTTAACAAGAGTGGAAATACCACAGTTATTAAGGGTAGAATCGTGTAGCTGATTACTGTGTCAATGAAGTATACACCTGTAAAAAGTTAACTTGCAAAGCTGTCTGATGTAAACATTGACAACAAGAGCACTTACTGAGGATATTTATGAACCACCAAAAACTTCACTGGATTTGATTCCTTGGTTCGGAGATTTAGAGTTTAGTTTTGCGAGACATCCAGTTCTACCTCCTACTGGTTTCATAGTGCCTGGGGCATTAAAAGCTTTCAGATAGCTATCAAAAGCACACAACTATTTATGTCTATTCACCAGGAGCAAAAGAGGAAAAGAAAGTCAGGAACAAGAAATGGAGTGTGTGGCTAACTGCCTGCATGAACAACTGCTGCCTCTGCCAAGAGATCCAAAGAACTGGACAGCATCCAGCTACCATTATTGAACATTTTGATCAAAGATGATACAGAAGGATCTTGATTAAAAGGAGGAAATCATAGAACAGAATTTCTTTTTTTTTAAAATTATTTTATTTTATTTTTGTGTGAGTGTACCGTCAAATCAGATCTGACTGGTACAGGAGATTGTCCCTCCTTCCCTGGCAGAGCATCTGGTGGATTTGAACCGTGCGCCTCTGGGATTGTAGTTGCAGCTCCTTACCACTAGGCCACCAGAGCTCCCCTAGAACAGAATTTCAAATCCTAATTGGACTTCCAATTTTCTGAAGCCATAAGGGCCAGATGAACCCATAACTATTGTGTTAAAATAATCTTTAAACCAAAAATAACCCAGGTGGATGACTATACTTATTCCAAGACGTCTAGAGCTGTAGAGCTGTCTGTCTTCTAGTAGCCTACAGAATATTAAGTATTTTTTCATAAACAACGTAATTCAAATGCACCAATTCTTTTATCAGTCTTTCTTACTTATTTTCTAGCTTTTACAAATGAAAACAGCCTGGCTGTGGCAGGAATACCGTAGACTTCAAGACTTCTTTGCCTTTTAATCCTTCAAAGGTATCTTTTGCAGATCTGCAATATGTCCTTTGATTTCTTGTCTGCTGATTCCAAGTAAAGCTAAATCATTGGTAACTTCAGTACTTTCTCCACTTATAATGATTACTGTAAGGACTTTTTCTATTAATGTATAATTGACACTGAAGACTGTAGTCTTTTCTCTTCATCACTGTCTTCAAGTCTTCCTCACTTTTAGCAGGTGGGGCATCATCTTCACAGTGCAAGTTGTTAATGGGTCTTCTTCCAATCCTAATGTCACACTCTTATTCATACAGCCCACCTTCTCAGATTATGTGCTCAGTATACAGATTAGATAATTATGGTGAAAGAACGTAGCCCTGATGTACACATTTCCTGATTTTAAACCAGGAAATATACCCTTGCTTCAAATGATTGCCTCGTGGTCTATGTTCAGGCTTCACAAGAACAAAATTAATTTTTCACAATGTCATCCATAAATTATTATGATCCACACTTTTATACAATCAGCCAAACACAAGTTTAGCAAAGCTGATATGACAACAGCAATGATCTTCCTCCATTCACGCCTTCAGACTCCAGCATGAATTTCTGGCACTTCCCTATCAATGCACTGCTGCAACCATTTGTTTTTTGGCTGGGTTTGGGGGTCATGTTTTTATCTTCAGCAAAATTTTACTTATGTGTTGTTGTTGTTGTTGTTATGTGCCGTCGAGTAGTTTTCGACTCATAGCGACCCTGTGTGCAGCATTAATAATATTGTTTGTTAAATTCCACATCCTACTGGATTACCTACCTTCTTTGGAATGGGCACAAATAGAAATTCCTTCCAGTCAGTTGGCTGCAAGCTGTTTTCCAAATTTCGTGGCACAGATAACTAAATGCTTCCAGCACTGCATCAATCTGTTGCAACATTTCGGTTGGTATTCCAGTAATTCCTGGAGCCCCGTTTCTCATCAGTGTAGCCTAAACTTCATTTAACATCCTCAGTTCTTGATTATATTCTA